CAAAAAAAATAATCGCAAAGGTAAAAAAAATAATTGCAAAGTTGGTATCAATTCTGTGAGAAAAGGCACTCATGGCCACTAGACAATCATTCAACAATCTGTTTACAAAGGTGTGCTGTTTTTAGCCAACTCAGTTCATGCCAAAAAGCTCAGCCTCCCTGAGGGAGCTCTCCCCCAGGCCAATTGGCGTGTTGTGTTGAAAAAATGACTGTACTTATGGCAAAATGAACCCACAATTTCTGACTTCTGATTGACCAATAAATAACAGTTAAAATGCACCAGAATGCAGTATTATACATACAGTTTTTAAAATGTTTCCACACCGTGGGAGATGGACACCCCCTCCCACAACCTCCCCCCCTCGGGGGGCTTCGCCCCCTCGTGTCCGCTTACTGCCCCCCCTGGCATTTTGCTCAGGCTACGGCCCTGATATCTTCTAGTATACATATCTAATTTGCCTTAATTTCTAATGATTCTTATAATATTACTGTAATCTTTAAGTGGATTTGGTCCAAATGATTAAATTGTTTTAATAATTAAATGATTTACCATGATATTTGCTACAAATGCATACTGTAGTGTAAAATGAGCAGGCAAAAGTGGCACTGTGCCACTCTAAGATCTGGGATCAAATATGGCCTTCCCACTTGAATTTCTATATAATTTATATCATTTATTAACATATTGTTTATCATTTATTAACATATTGTTTTTTTAAATAACAGTGCCACCAATGTATTATTCAACTCCATCATTTTTCTCTGAGAGAAAATTCAAATGAAATTGTAACCCTGGCACCAAATGAAGCTTAGGACATGCACTGAGATATCCCTTCTGTAGTTTCAACCTTTCCTTGCAAATAACTTTTTTTTGAAAATTCTATAAGGGTTCAGAAATTGTGTGAAATGCCATTATGTGGCAGAAAGTTTCATCCTAAAAGCTTTTCCAGATCACTGTAAAACAAAAGTACGCATTTACAAGTACATTAAGCTTGTCTCTGCCTGCAGCAATGCTGCATTAAAAGTACTCTTCATTTCCCCCTGAGTTGTTTGGGAAAAGTCTGGCCAATTATTTATTTACTAGTACAAAATATTTCTTTGATTTTTGCTGTAGGGAATTCACTATGGCAGTTGATTACTTATTCCTTCTAATAAATACCATGCTATAGGTGCAAAGTTTGAATTCTTGCTGTTGCTTTTTTTTCAATAAATAGATAGATAAATTTTAAAAAATTAATATAAAACAACAACCAAAATTTTGTTCCTTTTTCTCAAGTTTGATTAATATTCTGGGGACTACTTGGTCCCAGGGTTGATGTATTTTTGTACCTTTTAGTAGGAGATTTCAACTTAGGCATACCAGGCCTTTAAGCAGAGTGTGTGTGTGTGTGTGTGTGTGTGTGTGTGTGTGTGTGTGTGTGTAGGAGGGGGGGGGGGAGGTAGTAAGAGCCAGAAAAGGTTTGCACTGAATCAAAATTTGATGTAGGTTCTATGCCATTTCTGAAGTTAGGTCAAACAAGGGGTAAAGATTTAAGAGGTCCAAAGTAATGGTTGAAGATAAATTCTGAAAAAGATCCCCCTTTTAAATTGCTAGCTGAAGGCCTGAAACTTTACACAATTTAGACAGCATAATAGTTAACATTTATCATGAAACAAATTTAAATATACCAAAGATCAAATGTTGGGGTTTATAAGAAACAGAAAGGGAAGTGAAATTAGAAAGAAATAAAATAAGACATCATCCAGTTTGAATAGACTTACCTAAGAAAACAATCCAAAAATTTTACAGTCAAAACAATCAAATATGTACTAGTATTCACGTTGCTAGTATGTGAATATTTCTTCTGTCCATTTAATATTCATCCATCCCTTTAAAGTTAAGATTTCCTGCTCCAGATGCCACCACAGGCAAAGTCCAGGGGGAGTAAATTTACATTAAGTCTTGGAGCAGACAGCTTTACTCTTTTAAGTTAATAATTCCACCTCGTAAATAAAATTAAGTCCAATCCCAGCAAATGCATTTTTCCAATCAAATTATAGATATTCTCACACTTATAATCGAATTTAATGGAACCAAAGATCATTCTCCATTGATTGAAATGATGGTGCCATCAATGGATAAAAAGCTAGAGGTCCAATTCCAAAACTAGAACATTTTTGTCCGACTGAAGCAGACACCAATGTCCAAAAATCAATCTATAAACAGTCCAAGTGAACATGCACATGTAACTTTTAAGCATCTATCTCACTATACTTGCATACTGGTATTTACAAAATTCCAAAACATATTCCTGTACATTTCTTTTGCATTTAACAAAAGGTTAATTCATACTGTAGTCTCAATGAGGCCTGATCCAGCTCCATTCTTTCAATGAACTTCATCTGTTTGATCAGTGCCTATAGAGTCTTCTGAGGTTGTTTCTTCTATTGCAATGATCTTCCAAGTTGATTGCTCATGAAATCCATAAATACCATTCCCATGTTTCTACGTTGACCACAGTATCAATTGATCCAAGCAGCTGATTTCTGCCAACTTCAGACCAATGTAGGAAATGTTCCAGAGCTGTTCCAGAGCAATATGTTCCAGAGCGGTTCCTCTGAAGGGTTCCTCAATCCATCCTGGCCCATGCACCAATCAAATGTGCATCAGGAACGTGATTGTGTAATGGGCAGATTAACTCTGGTTTCTTATCAGATGCCCTCTCACAGTCAAGCTTTTGTGTCCCCGTCTTCCAACAAGAAATTCAAACTGAGTTCATTGCTTACCACCACACAGTAAAAAGAGGGTTTACTGCAGCAAGAGGCAGTCTAAGGATGCATTCAGAAAAAGTTGATCCATAGACTAACAGACCAGCAGATCAAATATATGTGGGATCCACTTGAAAGTTTGCCACATAAACACTTAATAGGCACATTAAAGATTCCCCGTGGAGATTACCCAATAGGTTTTCAAGTGGATGAGCCACATTTTATCCGTGGATCTGTTAGTACAAGGATCAACTTTGATTGTGAATTTGGCCTGATAAGATCACAGTGATTATGGAACATAAGCAAAACAAACTGACATCACTGATGGCACATTTACACAAATACTACAGGATCTAATTACCAGTACACCCCTCAGTGGTCTGAGTGGTTAGAAAGCGAGATAAGTTTATCAAGGACGTATGTGTTACTGCTATATTTATTTAGTCATATTAATCTAAAATAAGCCCCATGAAAATTCACATTTGTTGCCTTCTTTGACTAATTTAATAAAATAAAATAGGCCATATCAAAAATTTCATTATCATGGTACCAATCCACATATAAAAGTTCAAAATGTTTACATTTTCTAATTAGATCATGTTTAGCATGTGGCTAAAATTCAATATGCCTACTCCAGACCTGCAGTGTATACTTGGCTTAATGTTCCTCAGTCAGTATCAACAAACATTGAAATGGCTGATATGGTAATTGATCGTCAGGTCAGTGACCCTCTTTAGCAGAGTATAATATGGAAGTGACCAGAGTCAGGCTTTGGTGTGGTTTCCTTGAGATTTCAGCATACATATTATTCTGTTAAACAGGAGAATCACTACTACATGTAGATATAATACATATATATTATCTCCTAGACAAAGTTCAGATTCAAATTAATCGGCTTGATAATTACCACATGTTGCAAGAAATTTAGCAGCTTAAAGCTATACATAGTTTCTAGGTATTTATATTTCTTAATTGGTTCAAATTTAAATAACTTTATTTATTTATTTATTTATTTTGCTCAATCAACTGGAAAAAATGGCTGTCGTTTTCTCAAGATAAAAGTAAATGACAAAATCACTGTTATATTAAAATATATAAATTTTGTAAATTTTTTACTCTTTTTATTGACAAAAAATTAGTTTTGTACCAGGTGCAACCAGTACATGTAATTCACAGTCCACTTGAGAAACGTTTTAACGTTTCAATCCTGTAAACATAACAGTTTTGGTTTCCATTTCCAGAACTACATGGTTTGTGTGTCAAGTGTGGCCACCAGGAGTAACGACACAGACCAGACTAGGCATTTTAAAATACTGACCCAGCAACCAGCTATACATGGGTCAATGACTGGTCATCCTATGGCGATTTCATAATATTTAACCGAAGTTCAGGTCAACAGTTAACCTTGTGTCCCTGCTCCACGCCGCCCCCCCCCCCCACACACACACACACTAACACATCACCACCAACCTCCTGCCTAGGCAAGCCCTCCTTATCAGCCTACTTAAAGTTTAAATTTTAACCAGTGAAAATTACAATTGAAAATATCTACTCTAAGGAGTGTTTCCTTGAAATAGAGGGTTTTTTTCTGTTACAAGCATCAGTTCTCCAGTCACATCCTCAATATAATGGAGTTGGCATAGAGGTGAATGTGTTAGGTGTGACAGGCTCAACTAACACAACAAACAAGATCATTGTGATTGTAAATTTCACGTTCAGTAGTCATAACAATTTCATCATTACAATACAATTATTCTCTCCCCTTTTTATAATATTTTCACTTCATAAACCACGATATTGGGGCAGGATCCATAAAGACAACCCAAAATACGCCACACAATGAGACAATTAATTAAGTTATTAATATATATTAAACATTTATTTCCATTTCATGTATACATATTATATTCATTCATATATTATATATAATACAAATATCCATCACTAACACAAAATCCAGAGAGCTGAAGAGATATCTGTCAACTATTTTGTTTCTATATGCACTGCACATCTACATATATGTGTTTATGGAGTATGGTGATTTTTTCACAAAAATCTGTCACCTCTCATCTTTCAATTAGAACACTGAAGTGTAAAATTCTTGACCTAAATTTAATATCATAATAATAATTATAACGATAATAATAATGAGTCAAGAATGCAAATAGTTATTTTGTATAGTAATGGGAAATTTTTGAGGGAATTCAAATATCTGGCCTGCCAGCTGAATCTGATATACAGACTGCTGTTGAGTCTTCTTACTTCTCATGACTAGCTTTTGTCTCAATATGCCACCCTATTTATATGGGTAAAATGTGGCACTGCTTGGCTTGTTTGCTAAGTCAGTTCACATTAAGCATACTAAGGCAGTGCAACATAAAACCTCAATATATGAGGGGGATGTGAGCTCGTGAAAACATCAGAGGAGCTTCAAGTTTCTCTAACCCACATCACATTAGGTAATGATACAAAATAAAAATAAATAGATAAAAATAATCATGCCAAGTATTGTACAGTTATAATATTTTCAAATATCTTTATAGAACACATATTTCCCTTATCATATATTCTTAGAATATGAATATACTACAAAAAATACATTCACAATGATATGGTCTTTGGTAGAAACGGCAAACAAATCTTAAAGCCCTGTACCAGTATATTCCTGATGCCAGAAAAGTAACTTAATCAGTGTAAAGTGGGGTGTAAGTATTGTAGTTTACTGTTGTCACGTTTCAACAAAAAGTTTTACTTATAAAGAAATATTTGAAGCTTTTAAGAATTGTAAATATACTATAATAAACACATGCACACTTATATATATATATCATGGTAAAATCCAATAAATATACATACATAATCAAAAACCCAGCTTAGACAAAAAAAGTAAAGTAAAATATTCTACAAACTCCGTAACACACTTCATTAAGTTCAGTTCTTTGATTTTGGACTAGCTTTTCCATGAGTAAGGGAAGGTTTACTTTCACAAAAATATAACCATCTACAAATGTAGAAGAAATATGACTTATAATAACTTGATAGTCTTTTTCTAATAATCCCCTGTTCCATGCAATTACAATATATCCAATCCCATTATGCAGCCAAATTATTAATTTTTTAAATAGCACTTTTGAAATACAACAATAAAAACTTAAGTTTAACATCGTAGATAACAATCAATGCCAGAGTTTATCGTAGTCTTTTAACCACATATTTTCAAGATGATTAAATACATTACATTTTGAATAATAATGATATGCAAGATTTCTAAACAAACATACTCAGGTATCATAATTGTTCTTCTCAGTGTTACCAAAAACAAAAAAACATATTTATGTAGTACCAAAAATAAAGCACCATTTCAAGTTTACTGTAATAGCTTTTCACACAGCAAGCAATAAATAAAATCTGTGGCATCAAATTGACAGGAAAAGTTTGATCCTCTGAAATCCTGAGAGTAACATGAAAACGCAATTATGGAACAAACACCAGTACTCTGATTTCACTTACAAAAATAAAACATAAAATGAGGCTGTCTGGTTTTGCTGATTAATTTTCTAATTAATTTACTATTTAAAATACAATGAAGCTATTTTATTTTATCTGTCAGGTCAGGTTGTAGGTTGTGCCATGCTACTGCAGCCAGCTGCTTTAAAATTTGAATTTAACAAAAAAGATAGATGAAATTGGACTTTAAAAAACTGAAAATGCAAGTACTGAATGAGGTGTTTGGTGGAAGGGGCAATCATATACCCAAATTAATCCAGAAGACTTTCATCTCCAACTCTTAGTAAAATTGTGTCATGGACATTAAAAAAAGGAATATAATATGGAGAATAATTTAGAAATTGAACCTGTTTGTGGTTGGAAGAAACAACAAATTGTGCTGATGATATCTTGACCTCAGTTGTATACATATATCATATCACCTTTCCACTGAGAAGTAAGTTTTACATGAACATATGCGATCACTTATATGCCCTTATAAGGAACTCATCTGCATATTGTCATGGCAACTTAGGGCACATGAATAGGGCTTAAATGAATTACTGATGGTACACTGCTGAAAATTCTTATCCATATACAGGTCCAATAGATGATATGAATTATAAATATTGTAAGGACATAACAGTGCCTGAAGACTTATCCATTGTGCAGACAACTTGGAATACATATTTAACCCATCACAAAATGTCACATTTGGTGGTGCAGATATTCCATATATGGTGTTACCATGACAACCACCATATTATATACTTGCCTTCAGGCATTCCTTTATATATGGTGTTGCTATGGCAACAAAATGAAACTTCCCCTATTTTTGCTCTCAATGAGTGTTAATACTACCACAGTCACCAACTGAATTCCCACCAGAAAAAGTGACAAAGTATTCTAAATGCTGTCGATGCTGATCACCAAATGACGCATTTCTTCTGTACTGCAGGGTTCATGGGGCTGCCAGGTTTGCACTGGAATTGTTGAGCAAATTCCACCGAGTTGGATAATGTCCCTATCACTCTGAAATCAAACAGAATACATCAGTTTATGGAAAAAAATTGTATACTAGGTGACATGATAATAATTACAAAATTGCTTTTAAAATGTAATTTATGGAAATTCAATAATGTCCGTTACCTTTTATTTGTGTTTAAGTATTACATGCATTTTTAATGTGTGTCTCATTTTGCTAGGTGTGCCTCATTGTGCTAGATGTGACTCATTGCTCTAGGTGTGCCTCATTGTGTTAGATGTGCCCCATTGCGCTAGGTGTGCTCACTCACCTGTATTTTCCAGGACTATGGGGATCTGTGGCCAACTGTAACTTATCTTCCTCTTTGGTCTGAGATGAGCACCATACCTGAAAATAAGAACACTGTTGTGATAACAAAACTCCAGTCCACTAATAACTAACTGTCACTCTTCAGCCAGCAATTAAAAAAGGGTTTCTGTGGTGGTTAAAAGTAGACCTTTTAACCACCACAGTTGACTCAATTTTAGAAATGGCATAGAACATAGATCAAATGTGATTCAGGGCAGACCTTTCCTGCTCAAAAGGAAGGTTCTTTCTAACCCACCACTAGAACCCCCAAAAACTGCCTACAAGCCTGACATCCAAGGCGCAGAGGATGCTAAGCTTAAAATATTTACAATGATGTCTTTCACCACAGCACTGACCTGAGAGAAACCAACAAAGAACAGCTGTCTGTGGGTCAGATTGGTCCCTGGCAGCGGCTGCTCCTCCCCATTATGCTGTACCCAGTGTTCATATGCCTGAAATATGTTATAACATTATTATCTGTTATGTAATAGTACATACGATTATGTTGAAGCCAACTTTTTCAGTTGCATTCAATGAGTCTGTTGAGAATTTGGGAAAAAATTATTTCACTTTGTAAGAATTATATGATGCTGAAATATCTGATATTTCTCTGCTGAAGAAAAGAAATTGTGATTTTTCTCCCTAAAGGTATGTTATGAAAGTAAAGGGAAAAATAAAACAAAACTTAAATCAAATTGTGGGGATTTTTTTTCTTTTTTATAGATCCTTAAGCCACATATCACCTACATGGTAAGCAGCCTTCAGTCCTCCATTGTCTGCAATATTTTCACCTAGTGTTTGTTTTCCGTTCACCTGAAATAACATCAGCAGACACTTGTACATCTGGCCATGGCAATAACGAGTTCATTATTCTTCCTTTCTAAGACCCTTTTTGCATTAAATATAATACTGAAGTAATGCAGTCTTTGCAGGTTCATATAGAGTGACAGAGATCTGGCTAGTACATAAGAGAGTCATCGTAATGCAGCCTCCGTGCTTGACATAGCCACAATTCCCTCAATTTCCTTTTTCTGGTTTTAGATCTACAGAATTTAATTGCACTTTTTACCTTTTCCCCATTAAGTTTGTACTGGCTGTACTGGTCAATGAAGCACTTGGTCAGTTCCTTAAACTTGGCCACAGAAGCATTGTTCCACCAGGGGTGAAGGTTGCCATATTTGTCAAACTCACGACCTGGAGCAAGACCAAAATCAGCGAATATATAAACATTTATCAATCTTTCCAATAGATAATCATCAATTTAATATCATGTAGGAGTCTTTCAAAATTAATAGGAACTTCTTCAAGAAGACCAAGAATATTGTGACAATTGGTTGCTAAGTGAATTTCCTATGGCATAAGATACGACCTAGAAAGAGATCATCTCCTAGTAGGTGTTTGGTAACAGGTGCAGCTCCTCTTACCTTGGTCATCAAAACCATGTGTCAGTTCATGTCCCATCACTACCCCCATAGCACCATAGTTCAATGACCTGAAATCAAGGAAAACAGCTTACAGGAGAATAACTTGACCATCAAATGAGTAAATGGATCACCACCTAAATCTAATTCCTTTTTAATAACTTAGGCCTATTACTTATTTTCATTAATTTTTATTATTTCATGTTATTTACATGGTTGAAAAAACTTTGATATTATTTTTTATTACTATCTGCCCTACTCAGAGAAATATATCAAAATCCATCCATAACTTCCCGAGTTAGGCTGTTAACAAACAAATCAACAAAAAAAAAAAGCAAAAAGCATCATTTCCTTGGCAGAGGTAATAAATGAAGCTGACACCCATCTCCACTTACTTGGGAAAGGTCTGGTCATAGAAGGGAGCCTGTAATATTCCAGCAGGGAAGACAATCTCATTCTTGGTGGGGGAGTAGTAGGCATTGATAGTGGGAGGAGTCATGTCCCAGCTATGACAGCAGAAACAAAGGATATTTTGTATCAAAACTTGAAATGTTAATTTTCTGATACTGAAAATTGCTAGTTTGGAATTTATCAAGATCACCGTTGTCAATGATTTATAATTTAATATTAATTTTTTAAGATGTTTCTGTGATTTTATGACTGGATAATAAACATTTATAATCTATTTTTAAATAAAGAGAGCAAACTTGTAATTTTTTTCAAAATTTTTTTTCACCTGTTTTTGTCTGGTTTCCTTTTCAGTTTGTCGATATTTCTCTTCACAGCATACTTCACAGAGTTAATGTTATTACTGAAGTAACCATCCACTGTCACAGGAAACTGAAATACAAAAGCATTTCTCAGCAAGAAATTTCAAGTGGAAATTAAGCGGAGATATCATTTGTGTTCTTGATTACATACCCACATCTTTGGGTTGTTCCACAAAAAAAGTGAACATGTGAGTCACGACAGTCAGTGAAAGACACACATTATGAATTATATTTGCATAATTTTGACTATTCCCATTATTTTCTGTCTCATACAATAGAGCTCTCCAGTATACATGTAGAAAGTATTCAACAGTAATTAGAAAGTATGATAAAACATTTATGTGAATATTACACAAATCAAGTGTGTCATATGGCTCATTTTTTACCAATCAGAGAAAGAGCAAGTTCAGTAATAGTTAAAAGAGTTGTTGATCAACTGTTGCAGTTAAATGTGAAAAGTTGGTAGCAAAATGTAAAAACACTCAAATTTCCAATATTTCTTCTGTTTTTTTGCGACCATATTGTCTCGTCTTATCATAGTGCTGAACTACGCAACTCAGCAGAAGTTTAACCTAGAATATTAATAACAATAACAAAATGATGAAAATCTAAATTTTTTAAATATCTGGTCATCACGTCTCACCTCAGCATAGCGTTCATCAAGGGCAGTCTTGTTCAGTATGAAGGAGGGAAATCCAATCATATCAACTATGGCGTCTGCCTGCAATACAGAATATGATTCAGACACTAGCTTCATAATATGAACAAAAGCTGACAAGTTTTTCATAAGTAACAGTAAAAATATTTACTTAAAATTCCAAGAATAAAATTTCTATGCAGCATGAGCTGCGAAAATTTCTTATTTATCATTGTAAGTTAAATTAATCCTTAATTTTCCATTTTAATACTGCATAATAACTTTCTGGTTACATTATTTTTCACACAATACTATAGTTATCTGGTGCTCTTCATAATCAATAACTCATGCAAAATTCATGACACAGGAAGTACCTTATCAATGGCGGCCTTTTTTGTCTCTTCGTCCATCCACGTCAACTTCAGCAGGTTTCGTTTGAATGCATTCCGCACTTCTTGTATCATTTGCTCGGCCTGAATGTACACGTCAAGCTAGGATAGGAAAAGTTACCGAACCCAATGGGTGTGTTTGTGTGTGTGGAAACAGGGTTAGAAATTCACTCTCGCGGGATACATGGTACCTATTATTGGCATTGCCAGGCCAGTAGCCAGCAATTTTAATGTGGGGGTATTTTTCTAAAAAAAAAAGTTAATTTTTCAAAACCTTTCCTTGACCAAATCTGAAATCTGACATAGAATCAAGTTCGAAATTTCATTCTAAAACAAAAATTTTTTGCCAGCCAAAAGGGTGTTTGGCCATAACTCTATCCACCCACCCCCCAACTACCACCCCCTGCCTACAGGCCTGTATTGGCACACTTGTTAACCTCCAATTTAAACACACGAGACAGTGTATGAAACCAAAGACATAGTAATGACCACTATAATTACAGAAATTAACAGAAATCAAGAAAGGGACTTAACATACAGGTTTCATTTTGAATCAACATTTGGAAATACAATTCGGTTAATTTATGGTCACTATGACTATAAATTTGACAGGTGTTCTCTGATGGTTCACCTGAGCAATAATATACATTGCAAGCTCAGCAATTGATAAAAATCATTTGTACATATGGTAATACAAACTGTTGGGTAATACTGACTTTATAGGTTGGTCAAGGAGAACAATGCTATTTCAGCCATTCTCAGCATGCTGCCACCAATATTTGACAAAGAGTGATACACTGGGTGAAAAAAAAAATGGTAAGTAATGATCAAGACTGCCACGGATCAACATAAAAATAGACAATGATCATGGAGTTTTTTTTATTATTGGCACCAATGTTAACTAATGATCATGAAGTTTTTGGATTTTCCACACCAAAATTTAATACTTAATCCCAAATTTCTAACCCTGGTAAGGTTGGGTGCTAGCTTGTAATACTGCAAGGTGGAATCCAAAGAAAAAGTGTACAGCCATGAAGTGCTTGTAAATTTTGTAAAAGAAAATGTTCAGGACTACTATATCTGAAAAACAATGGATGCATCTCAGTATCTTAGAAATAACCAAGACTGAACAGAGAAATGTTCAATTTTTAATCTTAATTTCACACCAGGAGACATTCATTTGGCGGCACACTAATTCTGTTGGATCCATGTTTGTGTGCGTGTGTACCTGCATGCATGCCACTGTGAGTATGGTATTTGTTTCTCCCAAACCTTGATACAGTCTTGAGATAGCATGCCAATGTCAAACCACACTAACACACAAAGCTATGTATATCTGTTTGTGGTCAAAACCAACACAATAACCAAACATGCATGTGTTACAGAATTACATGCTATGGTTTCTATCATTCTTTCTTTCTTTTTCACCTGACAAACATCAATGTTTGAGTTTTATCAAACAATTAATTCTGGCTGGACTATTTCCAAGAGTGTGGCCTTTAACAAAGTTTTTGTAAATAAAATCAGGTAAAACATCACATAAAACATGTTTTGACAAAAAAAAAAAAAACAAACAAATACAAAGTGGGGTGGTCCAAAAAAAAAAGCAATTTGTAATTTCACCTTAAAATAATCAACTTCAAGCATTGAACAAAATCCTTCGATTATCTAAATTATGAAAAAAATTACATAAAAATAAAATCAAATTTAGAGCCCAAGGCATTCAGCTATCAACATTCACATCTATTTCAAGCTGTATCAAGTACAAAGTAATTCTAAAACATTGCCTAAAAACCATTAACATTTCAGTATTTCACACAACAGTGGTCCTGGCTTCTATGTTATTTAAGGATTTTAGGGGGTGCAGCCTTATTTAAAACAGGAAATACTAGTTTTTCAGCACTCCAAAACATTCAAACCAAGCAAGTTTACTGTAGAACTGCACAAATCTAGCAACTTGATATCTGCAGTGCTGTTACTAGTAAAATTACCCACCATTCAACAAGACATGTGACAACCATTACACAAGGCAAGGGGGTGTGGGGGGGGGGATTAAAGCAGGGGACTTCTTCGGACTTCTGTTAAATCAGGCATCTCTGTGTAAGCAGGGACCACTGTTATGTGTATGCTCATCTTAATTTAAGTAGACTCAAAACAATTTAAATTCCCTTAAAACAAAAGAAAAATGTAAAATTTACCTCGATAAAGGAAAAAAAGATTATATTCATAACACACTAATTTCACATACTTATAATTTTTTTGGTACAACTAACACAATCAATTGGTATCTCTAACACTATCAAATGATATTACTAACACAATCAATTGGCATCACTAACACAATCAATTGATACAACTAAGACAACTCAACTGACAATAGCATCCTGTGCAACTCACACAATTAACCAGTACATCTAGTATGATGATCTAATACAACTAACACAATATTCCGATGCAACAAACACAATCACAAAATACTAATAGCACAATCTGGCACAACTTTCACAATCTGACACAACTAATACAATAATCTGATGGAAATAGCACAATCACAAGGTACAACTAACACAATCACAAGGTTCAAATAGAACATTTATATGGCACAACCAACACAATAATCTGGAACAACTTACACAATCATCTGGTACAGCTAGCACAATTACCTTGTACAACTAACACAATCATCTTTTACAACTAACACAACTGTTTGGTACATCAAGCACAATTATTAGCACAACTTACATAATCATCTGGCACAAAAAGGGAATGGCTAGTCAGAAGTTTTCAGAGCCTTACCTTTTCCTTATTATCTCCTTTGAATTCTGACTTGACAAACAATGCTCCTAAAGCGAAGCCAAGCTTCCCGTTGGTATCTGTAATGCAGTACCGCCATACCTCCTCCCGGCCTGACGAGCCTAGGTAGGGAAGAGGAAATTATGCCTTTACATCAATGAAAGAAAACCATGAAAATACAGCATAATTGGCACGTATTTAATGATACATTTGAAGCAGCATACATTATTATATCAAAAGGCGAAGAGACAGAATGGAGGTACAGATACATAGGTCAGGTTAATTTGCAACTTTTTTCATTTTTTTTTTTTTGCTGACAGAGTAATCAATTGCTTTATCCCTTGGCATTTGTACTTCATATTAGTTATGGGAGATACTGGTAGCGGTGATTTATTTGTTTTACAGGAAATCTATGCTAGCTTCATATGTAACTATAAGCATGCCATTATGAAGTCCTTCCACAGTAGACAGTTTTGGTACGAAAGTAATCATCTGTGTTTAATGATATGATGATACATAGTAAGGGTCATGGTTATGGATTTGGTTAAGGTGTCATCTATCAGGTCAAATAAGGACAAATAGAAGTGTCTGTAGAAAAAAATTAAATGACCAAAATCAAAGTTAAAATCCAAGATCATCATTCCTAAAAAATGCACTGATATCAAAAATTGTTTCGAGAAAATACAAATTTAAATTATATGAACAAAACAGCATCCAGTACAATTTTACAGAAAATCAATGTACATTTAGTGCATGACATAAATACATAACAAACAAAAAAAAATTCTATGTAATGAGACATAACACTACAATATCTTTACTGCAAACAATAACAATGTTTATCAAAACACTTTTAAATAGGGTCACAATAATATCAGTCCTCTTGGCAAATCTACAGAATGGAGCACATGCGACACTAACTTTGCTGAAATGCTCTTAGCAAAACGGTTATCTACATATAATACACAGTACCTATTTTCAATATGTTCACTATGTAAATCATGTAAGTGAATTGAATAAAGCAATTAAACTTTACAGTTTTGGATGAAATATTTGTATTGATTTTCAATGAAGATAATTATGATCATTTTACATTAATAATTACACACAAATGAAACAAGACCCCTAGCTTTTCTTACTGCTGTGAAATTTAATGTCATGACCATGATGTAAAAGAGACAATTCTCTTTACAGGTCATGGAAAACTGTTATAAACTTTTAACTGTGCAAATTCATGAAAAAACACCTGGTTTTTTAAAAGTCAAAAGGTCAAAGGTCATATCAAAATATTCTCCTTGTGCTACTACTTTAATGCCTAACAATTTACTTCAAAAGAATAAGGATAGGGTATTATTATCTTTCATTTATTTCACGGTTTCAAATGACTGGCAAATCTTTCAAAGGAAAAAACATGTACTAAAATGGAAATTGTTACAAATTTGCTACTAGAAGCTATATAAGATTACTATAATGTATCAATCACCTGATAATGCCTGTGCAAAGTTTTTCTCGATGGTAACAAATTCCTTGGACAGATACGGTGCGAACGCCTTGACTATGTGCCATCTCATGTAGTGCAGAAGAGTCCTGTAAGCCAAAAACAATCTTATTATATCTATCTAACAACTCCAACAACAAGAAGTATGTCAACCTAGGAAGAAAATGCGCACTAAATGTACTGGGACTCTTGCTGAATGCCATCAGATTAACAGACTAAACTGCCTCCCACTGATTTTGACATACTTGTCTAATCACCAGCTTCTCTGTATTCCACTCAATGCCAGGAGCTGTGTCAGTCTGTTTATCTGATTGCCTTTAGCAACAGATCCTATACATGTGGAGTTAGGGGCATTAGCTAGTGGCATTTGTTTGGATATTAAAATGAAGTTTTGATAAAAATTTGGAAAAAAAACTTTAAAACCAGATTAGATAACATGTTTTGGAGCTAATCCCATTCACTGTAACTTACAAACAAAAAATCAAAACAGATAAGTCATTACATTTTTCCCTCCTCTGTAGAAGTCATGTTGAGTACGAGGGCAGACATGTTTCCTAGGAATTCTGGGGCATATACCACCAACTTCTCACTAGAGGTCACTGTGATGTTGCTGACTTTCAATATAGTGTTGAAATAACCCAGCCAGTTGATCTGATTGGGAGAGAAAAAAAAGCATGCAGGGAAATCAATATAGTGTGTGCCTCACAGTTTGTGTCAATGGTCATTGGGAGCTGAAGAACTTAGACAACTTATAAGTCTATCTCCAAAATTTCAAATAAAAAGTTGATTCTTATATATGTAATGGAAATTATCTTAAAGTGTACAATTATTCAAATATCCAGTCAATAGGATTAATACTAACTAAAAAATAAGGTGTATTTCTTTCTAAATCTATCTTTTTAATTATTAGTCTATATTCACATTCACTCACCACTGGTGCCAGCTGCTGGAGCTCCGCTAGTGACATCTTGTGGTAGTTTTTCTCCTCATCTCTCCTCTCATCTGCTGGAATTGTTATCTGAAGGAAACTTTCAAAATTCACTTATTCTGTCATGTTATTTTTATCAAACAAAATCTGTGTGTGATAATCAATACAGTCAGTTTGTGTTATTTTTTATGTAAATGAGCACATTTCATATGTGCCTTAAAAAATTCTTGTCGCTACTTTTAGATTTCATGGGAAATACTGTCTAGCATTTTACAGGAACACTGTCTAAGGGTCTATTCCCACAACTTTAGATCGATCTATCACCGTGGAGAGTCTCACTAGATTACTGTCAGATAATCCCCCTTAAGTGTCCGTCCCGCCTACTACAAGCTGTCAGGGGATAATTAACTTTCGTGTCCGCCCGGCTGACAGGTATTTAGCGTGAACCCCCAGGGAGTTAGGTCGATCTAAAGTAGGTCGATCTAATCTATGGAAATGGGGTGTTACACTACTGTTCTGTGTGCATGCATGTGTAGGAGTGTTTGTGCTTGTCCAAATGTGTATCATGCACGTGTACAAGTGCATGCATGCATGCCTGTGTGTGTGTACATCAGCATCAATCCCTATCACCATTGATACAGTACATACATTTGCCAGCCGTGTTTCAAACTCTATAATCTTTCTGCCCATGTCCAGAGTGTCATTTTTGTCCCAGCCAAGCAGTGCCCCCAATTCTCCCATGTACTCCAGGTAGGCCCCCAGCACCTGGAAAATGAAGTTTGATTTAATATTATTTTTTAATTTTAATATTATATTTTCAGTCTGTGACAAAAACCATAACAGTAAGCAACTGAAAGTAAACTTCATTTTTATATTATATTTTCAGTCTGATACACAAACCATGACAGTAAGCACCTGGAAAAATGAACTTTTTTCACCTGGAAAATAGAGTTAATTTTAATATTGTCAGTCTGATACACAAACCGTGACAGTAAGCACCTGGAACATAAACTTCATTTCAATATTACAGTTTCAGTCCGTGACAAAAACCATGGCAGAAAGTGGAACTGGGAGGTTAAAGTTTTTTTATTTCAAGAAAATTGTAATAAAAACAACAGGGACAACAATGAATAATTATAGGGCTAACTGATACCTTGTCTTCCTCTATTGTTTTATTCAGGTAATAATCCCTGTCAGGAAGCCCCAGGCCACTCTGATCAACCTGCAAGAATAAATTTACATTACTACAGCAATACCAGTAATTCCACATATACATGCATGTAAATCAAACAGAACCGTTGTCCTACATTAATATTCAAAATATCTTTGTAAAGTAATGTCTTAATAAGATTTCATTAGTTTAAGTTTCAAAATTTGTCTTCTTCAGATACAATCTAAAGTTTTCTGAAAATGAAATGTAGGAAAATGAAAATGTTTGAAATATTTGAATGAAAAAACACATTTGTTTTTGATATTTTGCAATATTATGAACAACAGGATACAAAATGCAAAACATCCCACCAAAGTCAACCAAAGTCTATTAGTATACTAGTACAGTAACAACCTGTAGGATATTTTGCTGAGAATTCCTCTCGTCTTCCCCCACCCAGATAGCCAGCAGTACATCAATATTGTATGCCTGGACCGTATTCAGGACACGGTTATAGTCCGTCTGCGCTGTCAGGTTATCTAGGTCAAGGTCGTGTAGGAGGTCAAGCAATGGCTGAGATCCTAACTTCTCAATTGTCTTGTTGGTGTCCATGCAGGACAGGTAGTAGGTTTTGGCTTTTTGTTCTGACACACTGTCGAACTTTTCTTGTGCGTCTGAAATGATTTAATATTTGGAAAGAATTAATGTGAAACATTCACAATCTATACTTTCAGAAATAATTCTACTCTGAACCTTTTTTGTATCTGATATATTTGGGGGAAAAAATCAACATCTACTCTGAGAATTAAAATGATCTACATGTACAGCACCTCATAAATAATACCCTAAAATATCATTGGCCATTGTCTTTAACACAACTGATCTCACCAAAAGCAACTTTTCACTGATTTGGACAAAAGTTACACTGTTTGCATGATAAAGCCAAAGTTTGCAGCAGGAAATAACTTTGGATGGGCACTAAAATTATCAACCATTACTAATAGTATCCCTTACAAACCACAATCTCACCTAAAGCATTTTTCATTGCGAGCTGGTTCTGTTGCCATAGCACCCCAAATGTCCCCCAGTGGGAGTGACCTGAGGGTATGGGATGTTTCTTTATCCACCCCCCACATACATAGGTGTAGAAATCCTCACAGGGGTCCACGCTGAGATCCATGGCATTGATGACAGAGCTCGCGACGGTGACACATGCTGGAGTGACACACTTGTCTTCTGTGGCTGATGGGAAAAAAATATATAATGTGACATCATTCAACATGTCTGCAAAATTATAACATCACAGTCTGAAAGTACTATAAATTATTTTCATAAATTTCTCCTGAAGGCCAGGGTACTCATAATTTATGCCTTTTATCTAAAGTTATAAACTTTCTATTTGTTTGAATTGTCTTCTATAATGATTTTGTTGTACAATTCAACTATATACTTTTAATCACACCAAATAAATGTAATTTTACTGTTATTAGCCCCATGTATCATCATTAAAATGCTCTTGTTGGGATTTTTAGAAGAATATTCCAGGAAAAAAAGTTTCCCTGTACTGGGAAAAGAACCAGTAGATAACTGTCCCTGCTTCATTCATGCTTCAAAACTGTCAATACTGATGCCACTTTCTTCCACAGTGTTACTCCTAGAGCCAAAATGGGACTGCATTTCTAACACTAAGTCATCAGTTCCCTTAGCAAAAAAATTTCAAGTCTGCATCAGACTGTCTTGCAAATTTACTGTAAATTTGCAACAAGGGATTTTTTTGTTCTTGGAAATTTGCAGCAATACTTATGCCACTTTCATAATCTGCCTACTTTCAGAGCCAATATGGGACTGCATGTCTACCACAATTAAGGTCAACAGTTCCCTTAGCAAAAATTATCAAGTATGCATCAGACTGTCTTGCATGTTGTGTTCTTCCAAATTTGCAAGAACTTGAATGTTTTCTTGCAAACTGTTATGCAAAGAAGGAGCTTCTTGAATATTTGCAGCCAATTTGCAAGAATATAAATGCTTCATTGCCTGCTGCAAACTTAAACTGATCTTTCAAACTGGCTGCAAATTGGCAGCAATACATTTTTTCTTGAAAACTCCAATAAATGCACATTTGCTGCATTTTTTTTTTTCATTTTGCTTTAAGTTGGCATTCTTTGTTGTAAAAAAAAATGAATTTCCTGTACAGATGAAATTATAGCAATGTGATTTGTAGAAATAAATTAGCGGTAAAAATAATGCCTGCCTTTTTCTGTTTCTAAACTGATGGGGATATGGTTTGTAATTGAAGGTCAGAAGCAAAGTTAAAAAGGTCATAGGAAGGTAATCAGGGTCAAGGTCAAGGTGGTCACGGTCAAGGTCAAGGTGATCAAGGCAAAGGCCAAGGTGATCATACCATCTGATCAGCATCATTCAGTAATTAAAAAACAAAGAAGTAACTTATCTCAGTGTTTCTGTATAAGGCTCTAGCTAATTTAAGTGGATCCAAAAATAAACCCTTCCCATCTGGCTTCAAGCAAAAGTAATTTCCTTTCTTAAGAACCCGATAAACTAAAACTCATCAACTACAATGTACAATAGCAAGTCTGGAGGTGCCACCAAGACTGACTCAGCGTGTCTCCAAGTCTTTACATCTAAAATAAGCCCTAAGACTTTCAGAATTCTCTGTCACCACTCATTTTAGGCAATTTGATGAATGTCTGTCCATTCCTGTCTATACTCTCTGTCTCAGTGCCTCTTCACTTGTGATTAACCAACAACACACTCTACAATATCTAACCTGCTGTCATCCAATGACTAGAAGGCATATAGGAGTCACTAGACACAGTGACACCAGTCATTACAGGCCTTCACTATTGTCCACAGCCAGGCAACAGTTCAGTCATCTTTTGAACCAACTTTTACAAATTTGGACGGCTATTTTGCAGATTTTTATCACTGGGGCAGTGGGAACATGAATTTTAACTGCCTATTTCAAAATACTGGCAAAAAACCCTGCCCAAAAGGATTTTAGTTTCATTTCATTTAATTGAATTCACACAGCTACTGTTTATTAATTGGTCAGTGTCAAGGGAGAGAGTTCTTCTCAGGTGTTTCTCTAACATAATAGCCAGACCATTTAGCTGTCAATCTTTCAAAATTGAACATTTAAGATGGAACACTAAGATACAATACTTGAAGACAAAAGGCGTCGTCTTCATCTGATTTCCACATGGCTTACTCTCTCACAGAACACTGTTGTATACAGATCATTAAAAGTCCCTAGGAGATTCTATTCACCAAATTTCTGGGAAACATGTCATTCATCATATTGTACAGAAATGGGAGGCAGTTTAATTAAATATACATGTGCTTACATGGGCATATGCGAACATATATGCACACTGGAACACACAAGCATATTGCGTTGACACACACACACACGTATGCACATGTACACAACACACACAAAATCACACATGCCTACACATGCACCAGGACAGACAATCTAAACAACACTTTTGCGTGCTTTCCAGCAATATTATTACAGTCACAGTTGGTGCAATGAATTTCATTAACATGACCTCTATACAAATGTTAAACCAAATCCTAAATCAATAGCTGGCCACTAGAGTGCATTATACAGGGATTAAGCAGAGATTTTCCTGTGTTTGTGAAGGCAATAAAAACCAAAAGGTCAATCTGTATTGGACAGGCAGCAGGTCCGTAGCCTGGGGAGAGTCGAGGGGGGTTTGAACAAACTGCCCTTTTTTTGGCTGGTGCACCATGAAAATCTGACTCCCCTAAAAGGTGACCCCCCCAGTCACATTTTTATGATGAAAATCTGACTCCCCAGTCAAAATTTCATAATGAAAGGAGTCAGCTTTTCATGGGAGTCAGATTTTCATGCTACTTTGAGAAATAAGTCCATTCTAGGTAAAATTTGATCTAGGTACATGAAGGTGTCATGGTAAAAGGTCCACTTTTTCTGACCCCCCTCACACTTTGTAAATGCTGACTATGGGCCTGGGAAGCCAGAGTAGCTCATGGATTTCAGAAATGTGATGGGGGAGGGGGGGGGGAGAGAAAGAGAGGGAAGGTTTGAGTGATCTTCCAATTTAAAAAGATGCTCTCTCTCTCTCTCTCTCTCTCTCTCTCAGAACTAATAAGTTGTAAATGCAATTCAGTTCCCTGCAAACAAGAACTCCCTAAAGCAGGAAACACTGTGTAAATGAACACATCCATATTCAATAGGATTTCTTCTGCCTTGAGTGCAATCCCAATTACGTAGTTTTACAGCATTTCTGTACCATAAACAGTATCATGAGATATTCAAGAAAATAAACACTATAAAACCCAGTGGCTTTTTAAAAACTTATGTACAGAATTTTTGGTATTAGGGCCAAGAACAAATTTTGGCCTAGGTTTTTATGTAAAACTGGCCCAAAATTCCTTAACCTAGAGTCATGACCACCTTTATGACCAAGGTTTTCAAAATTTTACATTTTTAGACATTCATAAAATTGTCCCTTTGGCAAAAAGCCAACTTACTATTTAAACGTTATATTACAATTTAAGGAAAAGCTAACAAAGGATTACTAAGAAGGATATAATTAAATCATGCTGAACATATTCCAATAAATACACAGCCTTTGTGATAAGTATTATTCCTTAGTTCCCTATTGGCTTCACAATTACCAACTGATGTCAAACAAGATTGTTCCCTTCCAAGAATGTCTGCCTCCTTAAAATATTGCAAAAACAATTTCTGTCCACTAATTTAAGTCAAACAAAGCCTAAGGATGCGCTGGTTTGATCACCCTGGGTTCCAGAGAGCTAGATATGAGTTGTCATAACGCCTACCCTGCAATCTTTCCTGTAAACTTTTATAAAAGAAAATCCTTCCTTACGGCTGCATAGAGAAGTGAAATTAACTTGGTTGCTACTTCTAAGACATTGAGCATTTTTCAAGAAGGCTGCCAATTTGTGAGCAAAAATTTAAGTCAAGCGATGTCCAAGGATGGTCTGTTTTAACCACATACGGTTTCAGAAAGCATTGGAAACATGCCTCCACAAGCATCATTCCAGCATTCACTGAAACAGCAGCCACCAACAGAGATGAATTTCCAGCAATCTCTGAAACTCTGGCTGGAAATGACAAAGGCAGGCTGCTTATAGTGTTGCATATCACATCTTATCAAGTAAGTTACAAAATTCAGGGTGATTTGACAGATTACCCCACAAATAATGGCCATGCATCCCCCCTTTAATCTGAACATTCTTCTCCTTTCTAGATGCCACCTGTGTCTGCTACAGAACTAATGAAAAATCTATACAACATTCCATAAATACCACAAAAGACAACAAATGCCAATTAATAGTAGATTCTATATTTGCATAGTCCAAGTTAAAATTGATCATCTTTATTCATACTTGACCAAATCACCTACTAGTAATCATTGCAAGTTGATGTCAATGACTATGGACGGAATAACACACACACAAAAAAAAACTAATAAAAAGCTGTTTCTAAATCCTAATTTTTTTCGCATTAGTCCCATTTTCCACATCATCAATCTGGCGTCAATGTTAGCATGAAGTGTAAATATGTGTTGCTGGTGATGATGTCATCAATATTCACCAGTCAACCTCAGTGATGTGCCAGAGGGTCTCGACTTTTCTGCAATATTCATATAGTGATTCATCAATTACTGCAGGTTGCCTTTTTAGAGGCATTTTCTGCAGTTGTGTGTGTGTGTGTGTGGGGGGGGGGGAGATGGTGGGATGAGAGAAAGAGAGTTTTATGCTCCATTTTGGCTCTCTTATTGCAAATTATGATGCAGAGAACAAGTAGCAATTCTCTGCATGATCTAATGCAATCAGCTTTGGCAAATTTGTTTAATATGGGAAAAATGTATTTTTGGACAGCTTCATTTTAAAATCAATGATTTTATGTATATATCTAGCCATTAAAACATGCTATTAAGATGAGAAGAATTTTAAGAACCAATTTTTTTTTCAAATTGAATAAAATTGAAACAATATTACATCCTCTTATAAAACAAAGTACTCCAGAAATAAAAACCACCATACCTGGGGGAGTGGTGGCAGGTGGTACAACTCGCGGCGAGGGTGCCCGCTCATCATGGCGCGACGCCAGTATAGAGATGAATATGATAACGAGTAGCGCCAAGAATATACTCAGCAGACCCAGAAACTGCTCCAGTCGCGTGAAGCGTCCACAGATGGCGTAGCCCGCCTTGTAGTGTAGCGTTGGAAATCGCGTGTGTCCGTCATGTGCGTTGCTTTCCCCCATGGGAGTGTCTGTAGGGCTGGCGCTCGACCCGGAGCCTTCCTCGTCGTCCACCTGTCTCTCATATTTGGGGTTCGACATCTGAAATTACAGAACAGGCATCACTGTATTAGGTGTTCATAGCTGTGGAAAAATGTTATAAAAATCAACTACAATTTCTGATTCATTTCCTGCACATGACATTTTGGCAAGAAAATACAATTATTTCTTATAACAAGATCAAATGCACTTTCCTTCTTATAGTTTGCCATACAAAATGGATTCACTAACTGTATTGAAATCCTATAGCTAGCGGAAAAAATGTTTTAAAAATAACCTTATGCATTTTTCTTGTAACTTTGACACCTGAAAAGGCAGAACAATAAATTTCCATCCCTTTCCTGAGGGAAAACATCTTTTGTAACAGTAGTGAACCTATTTGCCCACATACAAGACCTGTGGAGATGAAGTGACCTGGAAAGATTAGTTTGGAGACTGCACCCATCACCACTAACTGTACATACCACTTTTACACTGATAATTACTGAATCTACCTCAGGACTTTCAGTGTCTATCAACTGGTAATCTTTATATATCTTTATACATTATGATAATACTGATGCTATGTCTTTTTGACAAGTAATCCAAGTGTCACGCTCTCTCTCTCTCTCTCTCTCTCTCTCTCTATATATATATATATATATATAATAAGAGATCTATAGATAAAAATGTAATAGAAAAATAATCTCTACCAATCCCTAAAATTTCCAACAGTCTGATAGATTCTGAACTAGTAATTTTAAAAAATCCAATTTTATTTACAAGTCAAATGTCTAATCCACCTAATAAACACTTGAGTTGTCTCTAACCTGAGTAGCCAGCACTGGTTAAGGTTAAAAGTGCACTAGATTGTGGAAAATAACTCAATTCATCAACCTGTTAGTTCTGCTGATGATGATGGGACCACCATGTTTTTCCTGGTGATAATGAGCAGTAATTCACTACATATGTAACGACCAGAATAACTGCTTCACACTATGTCCTACTAATCAACATCATGCAAAATGGCTTAATAGTATTCAGTTACTGAGCAAAATTCATGCACCTAAAAAACACTCCAGAGGGCCAATTTTAAGATCATTCGAATTATTCAAGCTGTTCAAATTCACAGAACATTTCTATAATTTGGGTTCAACTGCACTTATCTATTACTATTATTATTTTTCTAATATGGACCATTTAACCCTCTAATATTCGCACCAAACTAGAGGGTTTTTTTTTTAACCTTCACTGATAAACCAAGTATTACGTTCAGCCAGTCTAAGTAAAGTGGAAATGGGATAACAAGTGATCAGCCTGTTGATCTGAGTACCTGGAAATGTCAAGACAGGGCACATCTTCGAGCTATTCCTAAGTAATGATTTCCTCTCTTCAAGAGTTAATAGTATAAAGGAAACACACATTAAAACCATTCATTTAATTGCAGGTCAAAAATTCAAGATCACAGATGTTCACAAATATTCCAGCTTAAATAGTGACTTAGGAAACATATTTTGTGGCTGTTTTTTTTTTTTTTTTTTTTTTTTTTGAACCTTTAATTTTTAAATTATACTGATTTTTTTCACCAGATCTTGAAGAGCGATGTCGTCATGAGACATTTCTCTAAGGAAATCTGCCACTCATGTGGAAACCAATTAGGGAAATATCATCTGACCATATGCCACAGAAATGACAAAAGTGACAACCTTTCTTCCAGCAGACATTATTGTCACAGGTGTAATAAGAGATGACATTAACTCCCTGTAGCCAATTATATGGTTTATAACTACTGTTGCTCATAAGCAGGATACTGGAAGACGTCCTACCAGTATTGCCAGAGAGTAGTTACTAGAGTATTGGTCATCCCGGAAGGGGTAAGGACTATTAATATCTTCACAATAAAGAAATTAAGGCATATTATATACTTATAGAGATATTCATTTTATCTCTTCTTTAAATTATATCTACTTTGGGAGTCAGTGATGATTTATTAAGAAAATATATGCCATTTTTATAACTCCATCTATAACTGCTGCACAAAACTGTGGGTTTTTATTGTATTCCATCATGTTTTGATTTTTTCTTTTCCTTATTTGGCTCCAGCTCTGGTAAATGATACGTATAACAATTCTCTTTCTTATTATGTTGTAGCTGGGCAAAATATTTACGTATTGTTAAAATTCAAACAGGTCATAAAAAATGCAGCAAGTCATCACTACATGATGTGGGATTCACACTATTATTTATCATTATTTATAATTATTTTTATTGTCCTTACTTAGTTATTATTGTATTCATACCAGCATGTAAAGATCACCTCATTTTTAGTTCGTACTATTTTATCAAATTACATCGCGTTATCCAAGAACATTAAAAAGTAAAGGCAGGAACGGTCTATATCATTATTATTATTTATCTAAAATAAAAGCACAGAGTATGCTCTTTTTCATCAAAAGGCAGCTCTTTCCAATCAATAAATGTGCACAAAAGTGCCATGTTTGAACATAACATATCTGTTCCCTTGACATTTTAACTTGCATATTTTTTTTAGTTAGTTAGCAAATTTCCTGGAAAGGTCAAAGACCCTGAACTCAGCACTTCAAAACTCATCAAATTGGTATTCTGCTAGCTAGATACAGTGTCTGAAAATGAATTCCACAGACAATGCTTCCAAAACAGCAATTCCCTTTTGTTTAGTATAAAATTATGAGCTGGCAATATGTCCATATATTTTCTCTCTCTCTCTCTCTCTCTCACACACACACACACACACACACACAAACACACTCAGAGTTGCTCCCTCTCTCTTTTTCCCTTTGCTACCCTGTCTCTTTCTCTCTTTCTCCATGTTTTTCACTCTTCCCTCTCTCTCTCTCTCTCTCTCTCTCTCTCACACACACAAACACACATACACAGTCACCCACTCTCTCCTTTCCCTTTGCCATCCTGTCTCTTTCTCTCTCTTATGTTGCTCACTTTCCTCCCTCTCTCTCTCTCTCTCTCACACACACAAAGCCAACACACACACACACACACACACACACACACACCAGTTTCTCTCTATCTCGATATCCTACCAGCATCATCTTCACCGCTGTCTCCAGCCCACACTTACAATTGGAAAAGCTTCTCTAATTTTCCCAGCACTGATGAAGATTAATTTCTTCTCCACAAATGACATCAATAACTGCGCTGCATGCTAGACCTGCAGCGGCAATATCGGTGCTTTGTGCAACAATCCTCGGCTTTTTTTTAATAATTTATAGGAAATACAGCTTTGATACTAAAGCATGCAATCTGTTCTCATCTGTCTTCAACCCCAAATGGGATAATCAGATGGAAAAATAAATAGCTTAGTTTCCTGAATTATTACATGGTAAAATTAGAGGCTTAGTTATATGGATATGTATGTTACTATGGAATTGAGGGGAAAATAATTAACAACAAAAGGTATGCATAATAGCAGTAAAACAACATCATATAATTGACTTAGTTAGTCTTTTGGCAAAATGTCTTAAAAAAAACACACAACATATGTGATCCTCATGCTATCTATGCAAGATCCAATGCACTGTCCTTAACACATAGGATCTGTTGAATGACATCAAAGGCAATGAAAACGAATACAATTGTAATACTGCACTGTGATCAGTCATTTTGTAATTTACCTCAACTAGTGTTTCCCGGTCCGTCGCCATGGGTGACGCTTCATTCATTTAGATCTCAGTCACACACGCAACGCCACTTGAAGCAAGGTACCAGAATTCATGCAATAACTAAGCTTCAATTGAAAATCTGTCGACTGGAAACGGCTTCCCTCTCTGCTTTAAACACTGCTTTCATTTGATAACCAAACACTGCAAAAAAAAATTTCCAGCACCGTTCTTGTGATGCCGCCTTGTTCACAGCATTGCAAGACTGTACAGCCAGATTCCTGTGCATTCAGAAAAATTACGCGGACTCTTGGTTTTTCTCCCAGCATGCACAGAGTGGCTAATTAAAAGGAAGCAGTTGGATGAATGCTCACAGAATATTATCAGAGTAAAAATATCCAGCTATGAATGCAGGATAAATGGCTTGCCATTCATACTGTGTATTTCCAAGGATCTGTTCTCTCATTGCAGTATCCTCTCAGGAATAGTGCGTGATAATTAGAGGTCAGTGAGAGAATCGCAATCTCTTCATCCCCCCCATCTGCTTCAAAAATGAAACTGTTCTTTATCTCTGCGCCTCCAAACTTATTGGCTTGGTGATTAGAACGCAGATCACACATGAAAGAACGTGTGTCTGATAACGCACTAACCACGATTGGAATTTTTTCGAAGATTTATTCTTCCAATCAGACTAGCCAGCCTCAAGGGGAGGGGGGGTGTGGAGAGGGAAGGGGGTAGGAAGGGGGGGGAGCGGGGCTGGACCCCTGTAGGAGAGAGATATGGTTCTTCTTTTAGCATTTCTTGACCTCATGAACACACCTGAAGAGAAAACCCATATATTCCATTCAATATCCCGCATTTTTATACATTCAGATTTATAACTGGGTTCCAACTACCCTTTTGTTTTCCAATATGGGTTAACTGCTTTACCTAGGAAATATAATTTTTTCTGCCAATTTTTGAAAATTCCATGAAAAGTTAATTTGCTTCTGTTTACCATGATAATGAAATATGGCTCATTTCTGCCATACTGGTATTTGGTATAAATCCAGCAAAGTCAATGTTGCTACCTAGTAATTGTCAAATTGAAAACATCTGCATTTTTTTTTCTTCCAAAATGCAGCCAAAATGAACATCTCCTGTCAATATTAATTCACGCATAAACAATACCCTCTTTTTCATGAACCAATAGGAACAATTATCTGTCAGTGGTACATGCACTTTTACATAAAGAATTTAATTATGCTGTGGACTGGATCCAGTGGACTATCATGTAGCATAGCAAGTGAAAGTTAAAGGCAACAACAGCTCTGTTTAATTTGAAAGTATTAAAATATCCAATGACTCTTGAAGACTTGGGTGTTTGCCCTATGTCTCAATTGGCTGCTGCTGTATCAGAAGCAAGTGAAC